GTTATTGGGTATGGACCCTTTCCTTTTTTTTTTTTGCGGGGTGCCGACCGGCCGCCGACTGCCAACCAGTGGATTTGTCGGCTGGTCGGCCCCTGACCAATCCAGGGGCACCGGCCGTCGGTGTGACTACTGTGCAGTCCAGTCGATTTCTTTTTTGTCCCGTTTCTTATCCCCCATTTTTTCCAATCACTTACCCACCCCTCTTAGCCACGTATTTCTACCTTGTTGGTTTTCCACCTTTTATAATATTCCAGTGGTGTTCTGTTTTCGTGCTGCCTGCTACACCTCGATGAGTAGATGATCACGAAATGATCCCACGATCATGTCTTCCATTCTTCTCTCGATTTCCTACTGCAAAAAACAGGTAAGTATCTTTTGGCATCTTTGCCTCCCATCCTCTGTACTTTGATGGTCACCCTTACACAGTATTCACTTCTGTGTCAGTACCTTTCAAGTGGATGTGTCTGATGTTCCCAATGGGCAGTAACCAATGCTGTAACCGTCCTCCTCTCTCTCCTAATCGTTAATCCCCTTTTTTTACATGAGTGAAGCCTTGCTGAGACGTCTGCCATTTCTTTTCAAGACACCATAAGCCATAAACCCTAAACCGTAAACCCTAAACCTTAAACCTGTGCTGGTCCCCAGGCGGCCCGGCTAGGGGAAAGTCGGCCGGTTACCCTCCCCGGCGGCCTGGGGTGGGCAGGGTCCCGGGCGGTCCCAGCACAAAATATTTAAAAAAAAAAGGAAAAAAAAAATCCGAAAAAAAAAATATCTTGTGTAAAAGTGCAATAAAAACTTTTGGCTGAGGGCCACCTAGAAATTCGTTGTGCAAGGAAAATGAGCAATAGCGAACTTCAGAAACCAAGCAGCATCATACACATGCGATCAGATAGTCGTGACCTCGAACCAAAAGCAGAATTGCATCACGATTCCCACCAAATAAGAGCACAGCAAAAGCTCATAAGTGACAATGTTCGAATAGTCTCATCATCATCAACAAAGAACCAATGTCGACATCCTATCTGGCGCTTGGCGCCCAGACTACAAATGGCAGATCCTATTAGCCTATCTTCAATGCCGCTGATGACGTCAACAGCTCCCCGAAGTACGAGCAGATCTCGGCCAATGCGGTTCGCCTCAAGCACCAGGTATGTCTGTCGCCTTACTCATAACCTCGATCCCCAACTCACAGATGCCACATGCACCCAAAGAGCACCATGCGCCCCATCCAGCATACAGCAGTGCAGCTCGGCTATGGCTGCCTGCTCCTTCCAGCTCGCCCGTGAGCGTGTGAGCACTGGCCAGCGTTAGCGCAGCAGCGCTTGCGCAGCATGCAGCCAGTGCCAAATGCCGAATGCGTGGGCAGGCACTTTCCTAAATGGAAGTGGCCTGCCTGCTTGCATGCGGCCTGGCTGCGCTGGGCCTCTGCCCAGAAGCTTCCGGTAGGCCCAGAGAGGCTGAGCCCCAGTCCAAATGAAACAGGCCCTGGGCCTGTGGTGGTTGCCCATGTCCAACTGCCCGCTGCGCAACTACCTGAATTTACCCAGTTGCGTGATGACCCCAAAAATAGGCCTGTAGGCCCTGGGTCGAGCCTGCCTTCACTTAGGGTGGCCAACTGTACAGAAAATAGGGCCCAGTAGGGCAGATCGAGGCCTTGAGCCTTGCATTCCCTCCTCCATACTTTGCTAGTCCTTTGAGAAGTTTATTCAATCTGGCGCTTTCCTTTCTGCAGCAACTTGTCATAATGGGCGACTGCCTGTGGTGCGGTTTGCATCAGTTCCTCCCGTGTGACCCATCTATCCTCCTTTGGATCAGCGTGATGTCTGAACCGAACTCGGTACTGCAGCTTCGGCTTCAGAGGTTGTCCCCTGCCTGTCGGTCTTGGAACCGGCATTTCTTTGTGGTCCACGATGTCGTCGATGTCGACCTCTCCGTCCATGGTTGGAGGCAGCATTAAGCGACGAGTGGGAAACTGATCAGTTTCTTCGGACGGTGCAAGCTTAGAGGCGTGAAAACAGGGTAGGTACGAAGGTGTCCAGGGATCCGAACGACATATGAGGGTCCGCCTGGTTCATTCCCAACTACATCCAGAACCTCCCATGGCCCAAAGTATTGTGGCATGAGCTTATGGGAGATCCCGTGCTCCTGTGCCAGTTCAGAAGCCTTGACCCAGACTCTGTCCCCTACCTGGAACATAGATGGGCGGCGGTGCTTGTTCTCAGATTCAACCGCCTGTGCTTTGTGCATGTGTTCGACCGCCTGCTGCATATGATTCTCATATCTATAGGCAAATTCCAAAGTGCCAGGAGCAGTAGTGGGTTGGTTCTCAGGTAGCAGAAAGTCAAGAGGGAGTCTAGGTTTGAACGTTAGCAGCAGGCTGTTAGGACTTACTCTCGTAGCACTATGAACTGCGTTGTTGTACAAGCTGGCGATGAGAGCGAGCTTCTCATCCCAGTCCACTTGATCAGGCTTACTGTAATGCCTCAGCAAGTGTTGAACAGCACGGTTCATCTGTTCTGCCTGTCCATTTGCCTCCGGATGGTTTCCAGATGTCATCTGCAGCTGTGTTCCTTGTTCGGCAGCTGCGGCCTTCCACAGATCGCTGGTGAATTGGACATCCCTATCGCTGATTGTAGACTTCGGCAGGCCAAAGTCTCTGACGCAGTTTTCCTTAAATAGCCTGATAACGTACTCGGTCTTTGCTGTTTCCGGCATAGCTACTAATCTGGCATACTTACTAAATCTATCCACGATGACGTAGATGTACCTCATGCCACTCTTGCTGGTGACTAGCGTATCCATGAAGTCCATGGACAGGCTTTCACCAAGCCTTTCTGGAATGGGAAGGGGTTTGAGAAACCCAAGAGGAGCCTGTGTCCGGGGCTTGTCACGTCGACAAACTTGACAAGTCTCGACATACAGTTTGGCATCTTTCATCATTGCGGGCCACTAGAATCGCTGCAACAGGTTGGCTGCAGTCTTCTTGAAGCCAAAATAATCGGTGGCATCATGACATTCGCCTCAAACTAAACTACGCAAAGATTCTCTACACACAAACGCTTATTCCCGGCCTTCTCAAGGAACAGCAGGCCATTGATCAACTCAACATCTTCAGACATAGCTTTATCCTTCGCCTCGAGTTTGTGTATGATCTCTGACATGAATGGGTCCTCGCAATAGGCTTCCACCAAAGACTGAGTAACATCGTCCGCAAGCCCAAATTCAGTGACCAGCGCACCGAGAAAATCTGGCCTACGCGACAACGCATCAGCAACCTTGTTGTACTCCCCCTTGATGTACTGGGGTTCGAAGTCATACTGCTGAATGACTTCGATTCAACGCTTTGGAGCGTCGGAGAGTGCCGGTTGAGTCTTCATCCATCTCAGGGTCTGATGATCAGTCCTAACATAGAAGAAGCGGCCTAGGAGGTAGTGCCTCCAATGGGTTAACGCTTTGTAGGTCGCATAGAGCTCCTTCTCATAGGTGTATTTGGCCAACTTTTGAGAGGGCATCTTCTTGGACATGTACTCTATCGGCCTCAACTTCTTTCCCTCCTGCTGCGCAAGTATGGCACCAATGCCATATTGGCTGGCATCAGTAGTCACAATGAAAGGTTTGTCAGGATCAGGAAGTTTCAAGACCTCATGGTGTGTCAACACATGCTTCAGATGTCTGAATGCAGCCTCACACCTGTCTGTCCACTCCCATGGGGTGTCAAGGTGTGTCAGGTCCATCAAAGGGGCGGCCACTACTATAATTTTGAACAAAGTTGCGGTAGTAGCCTGTCAGCCCTAAGGACCTCATCTCAGTCACACACTGAGGACGCGGCCAGTCACGAATGCTGGCCACCTTCGTGTCATCGGGCTTCGAACCCTCCGCGGAATTCTCATGACCCAGATACAAGATCTGGGTGCGGCCAAACTCACACTTCTCTTGGTTGATCTTGAACTGGTGCTATCTAAGGAGGCCAAGGACTTTATCTAAGTGCGCTACATGCTCCTCGACAGTCCTACTAAAGATAAGTATGTCATCGAGGTACACAATGACAAACTTGTCCAAGCAGTTATGAAATATCCGGTTCATCGCGTGCTGAAAGGTGCCAGGAGCATTGCAAAGGCTGAAAGGCATCACCACAAACTCGTACATACCATACCTGGTCTGAAATGCAGTTTTGTGTTGATCCTCGGGCCGTATTGCAATCTGATGGTACTCAGACTTCAGATCTATCTTACTGAAGTACCAACACCCTTGCACTCGATCCAACAAGTCGTCGATGCGCGGTAGGGGCTCGACGTTCTTCACTGTGATGGCATTGAGGCCCCTATAGTCAATGCACATCCTCAAGGTCCCCCCCTTCTTCGGTGCAAATAAAACTGGCGATCCGTAAGGGGAGACACTAGGCCGGATCCAACCCTTCTCTATGAGATCCTTCAGTTGTCGGCGAAGATCATCGAGCTCACCTGGAGACATCCGATAGATCGTACCCTTCAGAATGTTAGACCCTGGGATAATCTCTATCGTGTGGACGACCTCCCTCTCAACAACCCCTTTCGGCTCTTCGAATAAATCAGGGTACCTAGCGACCACTCCCTATCTCTGGAGGCGCTGTCATCGGCTCACCCTCTGCAGAGACGTACACCAAGTACATACCCTCCACCGTATTTTGCTTATAATAGTTGTAGAACGTGGCCGCACACATGCATCCGTAGGACTCGATCAGACTACTAACCTTGAACTTACGTAATCTGGCGGTACCCCCTCCGGGCAAAGTGTGTTTGACCACTTTTCTGTCTCAGTCAAACTGGGGTTGTGCAACCGAGAGGTAATACATACCTATCAAGATATCCATAGGGAAATCATCACTGACTAGAAACGAGACTCGATGTTTCAGTTTCTCTCCCTCGTACGGGAAAAGACACTCAATGTCTTTAAGGTAGTCGTCGACTACCATGCGCTGTTTGTTGGCACAGGTCGACTCCACAGGTCGACTCAGGCGCTGCACTTGTCCCTGTAAGCGCAGCCTCTCAACGCACGCACGACTAATGAAGTTTCTCGTCGAGCAAGTGTCATAATAGGCCCCGGCCTTACGGCCGCCGATGACTACCTCGTCGACGAACAACTCACCCTTAGGGGCTTTGGCCATGGCCTTCCAAGAAGCTAGTGGGTTCGATCTAGACCACTCCTCCTCCAACTCCTCCAAGGACTCTTAACACATTTAGCGAAGAGAGGATCGCTCGGTCCGAATGTGTTTGCAGGACAACGGTGGAGTCAATAGCTTGGGCCATCTCTCGAGATGGTGAGGGTGTGTCCACCACCTCGACCCTAGCAGGAACAACTACTATTCCTACTGGCCTGACGTGTTTCCCGGAGCAGTGCCAGAACTGCTGGCCAAATTGCTACCTACGAGAGAGGAGGACCCCAACGCCTGCCCCATAGTAGGTGGGATCTTCCCGGTTACCTTCTTATTGCGGCACTTGAATTGGTTGTGGCCGTATTGACCACAACAAATACAGGCCTGCCTAGTATACCGGTCTCTCCACACGTCCTCTGTGAGACCCGCTTTCTCCCATGGAGGAGCATTAGGGTCAACTTGAGTCCTAGACCGGAAACCTCCACGGCGTCTACCGGTTGCCTTACCTTTCTGGACAGAGGCAGCAACTGTTCCMCCCCGTGAAACCTCTACGTTGCCTGCCTCTGAACCCACTCCCGCCTGGAAATCGACTTCTAATTCGATGGTAGAACCATCGTTGTCAACGAACATTATGTGGCCTTTCGCCTTCCAGTTGGGAGGCAGTGTCTTTCTCCTACCGTCCGTTGTGGGTGTCTGCCCATGCCCTATCTTTGCCTCTAGGTCTAGGGCCTTCTTACTGAACGAGGGAAAGTTGTGCTTATTGATGTTGGCCTCACCTACCAACTGATTCCTGAGAGGCAAAGGAAAACATCTCAGGTATGCATTAAGATCTGGGGGTCATAGCGCACTCCAGGAACACAGATCAGACGCTCTACTGCGTCTGTGGCTTCCCTTACTGACTTGAACCGCCTGTTGTTCAATGTCAGGATCGTGTCAGTGGCCTTTTGAGCCTCCTGAGGATCATGCCTCCTATCTTCTACCAGCTTAAGGAAGTCTTCCAGTTTTTGGTTAACTGCCCAAGCGCGGAAGTCATGATTGTATCCCTGTAACTGCACTAGACCACCCGACCATCTTGCTGCACTCCCCTCTAAATAGGAGGCAGCCACAAGCACTTCCTCGTGCGGCAAGGTCAATTTACATTTGACATAGACTGGCGCTGACCTCAACCAAGTGTCAAGGTCTTCGTCCCTCTTGTCCCCTGTAAAGGGTTTGGGGGAGGCGATGGCTATAGAACCCACTGACTTTGTCCCGTCACCTGTCCCACTCCAGGCTGTGGACCTTGGGGATCAGGTTGCTGCACCAGCTGCTGTTGGGGCTGTGTACCCTGCGGCTGTGCAGGCTGCGAGACAGGAGGTTTCTCGGTACGGCAACATGCGACGGATACGCCACAGATTGGCTATGGCGTCACATTGCTACCATCTCTACGTTACAGCTTGGCTATGGCGTCAATCCCCTACCTGCTACCATCTCTACGCTACAGCTTGGCTATGGCGTCAATCCCCTACCATCTCTACGCCACAGCTTGGCTATGGCGTCACCCTGCTACCATCTCTACGACACAGCTTGGCTATGGCGTCACCCTGCTACCATCTCTACGCCACAGCTTGGCTATGGCGTCACCCTCGTACCATCGCTATGGCCACAGCTTGGCTATGGCGTCAACCGCCTACCATCTCTACGCCACAGCTTGGATATGGCGTCACCCTCCTACGGTCGAGGTTGGGAATACATTGACTGTACAGGAACCTGAAGACTAGGCCCTGCTGAGAACCCTCCTGTCAATGACATACTCAGGGAAACGGCTTGGATCGAGACTGGAGTGACATATGGAGATACTCCAGTCACCGGTGGGACGAAGGGAGGAGGATGTACAATGGGCCAGGCACCGGGCCCGGACGACGATGGTGCTGCCTGCGCTCGCCGGACCAGTACGACCAGACTTTGCTGAATGTCCTGAAGGAGAGTCGTTTGGTGGTCCTGCATTTCTACTACATGTAGCAGGACGGACCGTAGGGTCCTCACATCGTCATCCATGTTCGTCAGGTCCATCTCCTCTAACTTGCTAACGTCCGCTGGTCTCCACTGCATCTTGGCTCTTCTTCTAATCATTTTCTCTTTCTCTGCCTTAATCTCTCCTAACGCCTGCTGTAGCTGTGCCTCGCGAATAGCTGCTCGCTGTATGGCGACCTCCTCGGGGGTCAATACTATTGGCTGGCTTGCCATAACGCCAGTGGACTGACTCAGGGTTTGTGCGACCATTGACCCCACAGAACTTGACCCACTAGCCTGAGACCTCTGCTGCGCAGCAGATGCCATGGCTGCTGAAGTAGCGGCCTCGCTCACAAATGCCCTCCTTGCCTCTGCGGCCCTACCTTCTTAACCCGAAAAAAAAAGTACGTACGTTCTATTCGAATTACCTCTGGAAATCGGGTTTTCAGAAATCGCTTGCTTTTCCCCGAATAGAACGTACGTTCGAATATAACGTACGTACGTTGTATTCGTTGTATTCAAATACAACGTACGTATGTTGTATTCAAATTTTTGGAACTTTAATTTTTCAAAAATAATTAAAAAAATCCGAAAAAAATAAAATGTTATACAACAATGCACTACAAACAACGTTTGCCTAAGGGTCTTAGCGAACTTCATGAGAAAATTTGAGAAAAAAAATAAAAACGAGGATGAAAATGTTTTTTACTGATTTTTTCAAGAATTTCGATTTAAAAAAAAACTTCAGTTAAAAATCCGAAAAAAAAGTATGTTGTACAACATTGCAATGCAAACAACTTTTGCCTGACGGTCTTGGCGAAATTCCCAACCAAATTTGAGATAAAAATAAAAGCAATGGTGGTACTACAGGCTTTTGAAAAGTTGTACCCTAAAAGGCTAAAACTCTTTCTATAACGTAAGTACGTTGTATTCGAATACAACGTACCCCGTATGTTGTATTCATATACAAGGTACGTATGTTTTTTTTGGGTTAAGAAGGTAGCTCTCCGCTGCTGCTGCTGTGTCTCTCTCAGCTTGCGGAACAGGTATCTATTGCCCTCTGGTCCTAATGCCAAGTGGGCTATCTGGCGTCTTGCCGATCGCAAGATCCGATCGTCGGGTCGTGGGACCTCCCTGTCACTCATAGGCTACAACACTGTACACTGTCTGCACTACGACACTCTCAATGCCTACCGCAGCATGATGTACAAACGAATTTAAAATAATTAAAATAAATAATCGGTGACTATGTCAGAGACTACACATTTGGGTCCAATGGTAAGTTCAGATTCCTACAAACAAAACTATTTTGACTTTGACTAGTTCACAAACAGAAAGCACAATGAACAGAAAACAGATCTAACTATGCTGTCTGTCAGATGTTAATGGTTGTACATCTAACTAATCAAAATAAAAACAGAATCATTTGATTGGTTGTTTGCAGAGTGGAATCTTTCCTAGACTTATCACCTGGAATCTACCCCTCCCTCAGTTCTTCCTGAATGTCTCTTGTCGTCAGCGTCCCTGAGCAATCCGGAACAGCGTGCGTGTCTAAAGGTGTGCACACGGCCCACCCCTGTGCCCTGAGTCCTGCTAAGTTGGCCAGCCCTGCACAATATTTATCCTCGCGTGCAGCGAGCCTTACAGCGACCGATTGGCTGATCAGGAGGTGTTTTGATGGACGGCCCCTGAAGTCCTCAGGAATTATTTAACGTCGCAAACAGGACGACGATCACAGCCAATGGAAGGTTCCCACCGGTACTTATTTATGGACGTCCGGTACTCGTCTTTCCCGTAGGGCTGGCCTGTCCGACCAGACAGAGGACAAAGCAGCAAAGCATGCGTGCTCTACTCCCGGTGGGTTGGCATGGTGACCGTGACCCAGTGCTTCGTCCAGGGCCCTTCAGATAGCACCTTCCTCTTCTTCCAAATGCTCCACGTGAATACTGACGACTCTCAAGGTTGAGCGCACTCGACTCCTCACATGAGAGGACTCTCAAGACAGAACACACATCTTCGCGGTAAGAAGTGTCGAAGAGGGTAGATAAGGTTAGGTGCAACGTACCTCAAAATAGCTGCCCCCTACCACAGATATTCTCACCAGATGACCCGATGCCGATTGTGATGACCAATCGCTGCTTCGGCACAACCAGCATTACGCTGCTGTTCCACCTCAGCATCAATCGCACATCAGATAGTTCTCATCACACTGCGAACACCCAATATTCCCCACGTAGCCTTCCTGGCGATCCCCTCTCCTCCTGGGTCGCCTGCTTGCCTTCGCCCTCCTCACTACACACTCCCTACGGCCGCTCGCCCAGCAGACCGCATGCATGTACCGCATAGGCAGAAGACAAGCGCGAGATGAGCGCAATGTACCACAGCTCCGATACCAAATTGCAAGGAAAATGAGCGATAGCGAACTTCAGAAACCAAGCAGCAGCATACACATGAGACCAGATAGTCGTGACCTCGAACCAAAAGCAGAATTGCATCACGAGTCCCAGCAAATAAGAGCACAGCAAAAGCTCATAAGTGACAATGTTCGAATAGTCTCATCATCATCAACAAAGAACCAATGTCGACATCCTGCAATCAGACTCGCTCTCTGCTTCGCTTCACATACATGCAAACAGATGGCGATTCACACTGGCGCCAAGCGCCCACTCAAAGCTCAGAGATGTGGAAACCACGAACACAGTCAGATAGGCTATGGTGCATCAGCGCCTGTACATCGCAACTCTGGTAACTGTGTCCAACACCTCTGTTCGCACACACTCGACTCTGGATCACCCTGAATACCCCACGCACACGTACTCTGTATCACACACACACACACACACTAACTGCTATCTCTCACCTATGGCGGCTATGGCCGCTCGCTACTACTACTATGGCTACGCTATCTTCTTCCAGCCCACTTCGACTTTGGGCGCTCTGCAGACCAACCCGCACAAGACGCTAGGGCAGCGCTTCCGCATGGCTTACGCAGCGAATGAATGAATGGCTGGACGCTGCCTCTTGATTTATACTCCTGTAAGTCGCTGGTCTGCCCCTTTCCCACCGGGCCCATAGTGCGCACAGTCCCTCATGGTACTTGCTGACTGTACAAAGTGAGACTGGGACTGGGTACCGCTGACTAAGCGAAGTTGGACTCACCACTTGCCCAGTTGCCTGCTGTGTATAACGTGAGAAGAAACTTGAAAGGCCACTTCCAGACCTTCCGAAAGTTTACAGACTTGGCCTTTCAGGACTATAGCAGCTACGACCTTGACCTTTCAGAACTACAATAGCTACGACCCCTATGCAGGTGTGACCCCTACTTCGACAGGTCTAAGGTTCAGGACTCTACAACTACTCAGACCTACGACAAACAACTTCAACTACTAACACACAGGTCACGGGTTCAGGACTCATAGGGTCGACTCAATACTGTACGCAGGTAAGGAAAGGTAAGGTGAGGTCTGTGGATCGAACCCTGGGATCCGCGTCTGTGTCTGCAAAAAGGTGAAAACCGTTTCAATCCTATCTGGCGCTAGGCGCCCAGACTACAAATGGCAGATCCTATCTAGCCTATCTACAATGCCGCTGATGACGTCAACAGCTCCCCGAAGTACGAGCAGATCTCCGCCAATGCCGTTCGCCTCAAGCACCAGGTATGTCTCTCGCCTCACTCATAACCTCGATCCCCAACTCACAGATGCCACATGCACCCAAAGACCACCATGCGCCCCATCCAGCATACAGCAGCGCAGCTGGGCTACGGCTGCCTACTCCTTCCAGCTCGCCCGTGAGCGCATGAGCGCTGGCCAGCGTTAGCGCGGCAGCGCGTGCGCAGCATGCAGCCAGTGCCGAATGCCGAATGCGTGGGCAGGCACTTTCCTAAATGGAAGTGGCCTGCCTGCTCCTGTGGTGGTTGCCCTTGTCCAACTGCCTGCTGTGCAATTGCCTGAATTTAACCAGTTGCGTGATGACCCCAAAAATAGGCTTGTAGGCCCTGGGTCGAGCCTGCCTTCACTTAGGGTGGCCGACTGTACAGAAAATAGGGCCCAGTAGGGCAGATCGAGGCCTTGAGCCTCGCAGTTGTTAATTTTTAATTTTAAGATAAAAACAAGTGGACCCGCTGCGGCTTCGCCCGCGGCGAGAAGAGTATAAAATGTGAGACACAAGGAGAAGGAGAAAACAAAAGATGCAGAGACGTGGATGTGGAAAAAGTCATGGAAAATATGTAACATTTCATGAATATGTGAAAAACTCTCTGCGATCCCGACTCTCTCTCTCTCTCTCTCTCTCTCTCTCTCTCTCTCTCTCTCTCACATCTGCCTTCCCGACTTCCTTCCCCCCTCCCTATCCCGACTCCTCTCCCCCTCCCTATCCTGAGTTTACCCGATTTCGATCTCTCTCCCCCCTTCTCTCTGCGATCCCGACTCTCTCTCTCTCT